TGGAAATGTGGAGTTTTATTCCGCCACTACCAAGGAAACTCCTGCCAAAATTATAATTATGAGCTTTTTTACTATTGTGAGGTGTTCATTTATAATGCATCGTATCCATCAATTTATTAATGCTGCCTGTACTGTATAAAGCCGATTAGCGGAATAGTATCAATCTTTCGCATATGTCGGCATATTGCACGAATTCTGGCGCGTACTGTACGTTTATCATACAGCAAGAGGGAAAAGATATCTGACAAATAGAGGGCCGGTACTATTCAAAAGTTCAGATACGTGTTTTATGAATTATTTACGGCTGTAGAACGCCCTCAGACGAAATCATAAACCTTCAAACAAAGCTTTACCTGAGAAGTAGAAGACGACTCAATGGCCGGGACAATATATTTATTCGCCTGACATTTCGAAATCCACCGCGGATTCAACCTCAGAGGCATATTCATAGAACAGTAACAGAAACAAAGTTTTACCTGTCAGAAGTCACTGCGCGCTTCGTCGGTGAATTCTTGAGCCACAACATTAATCTATGTCTCCTTTTTATTAGCCTAAATTTTGATTTCCTAATTAATTATGCTCTTTTAAGGAATTGAAAGAACTAGTTGATTTTTGTGGAGTAAGCAAGAAGTTAGTTCTGGCCCTCTATCCACTGAAGGCTGAGGAAAGTGCATGCCTTGGAGAAAACAACTTAAATATTTGTTGAAATTCCAAGGAATTAGCATACGACTGGTGGCACGCACATGAAATCCAAAGTCTGTTAAAAGAGACACACACCTAGATGCGAATTCAGGAGGAGGATGCTGAGGTCGTACACCACCACCCCGGCGTCCCCGGGAAGTGGTGAAACGGCCACGTCCTCGAGGGTGTTCCGGGTAACCACCCCCTCCGCCACTGCCCTCGTCAGCACCACCACCACCGGTATCGCCGGCATCATTTGAGAATCTACCGCCACCACCACCACCATCACCGTAGAAATTGGGTCCTGCTCGCTGATTTGCCCCCCACGGTCGTCCACCCCCACCACCAGAGTCCGCCGCTGTTTGCTGGTCACCGGCTAGGTCTGATTTGCTGCCGGCCTTTGGTGGTCGCAGTTTCGGTTTCTCTCGTCGCTGTCGCTGCTGATGTCTGTCTTCGGGCTCCTCCGTCTCCTGGTGCG